ATGCACATGTCAATCACTTCTTGGAGTAATAGGGTTAAACTTTTCCATGATGACCACTTGCATGCATTCATAAGCAACTTTATGAACAAAAACTTTCTACTTTACCTGACACAAAAAAAGGTGAAACTCCTTCCTCCCTAAAACACCCCTTCTCTCCCTCCCTCTTGCCCAGAGGAGACCATTGTGGAAAGCTTAGAATGACCTTCTTGATTGGAGCTAAATCGATTGTACAGCCACTATAGATAACCCTGAAGTTTAAGTTAATTAGTGTACAATAAATTACCAGTGAGTGTGCATTACACTTAAAACTTACTGGTGTCTTTGCAAATGGTCTGGCCACAACAAAGAAAATCCAATAGAACCATGAAGTCTTAGACAGTGAAGTGTAAATCAAGTTTCCAGGGTGTACAGCATTACATGTCACTCCTTTAGGTTTCAAGCGGCGATTCAATTCCATAGAGAAGAGCAAGTTGCAGAGTTTGGACTGATTGTAAGCCACAATGGACCAGTATTTATCTTTAGAAAGAGGAATTTCTGACAAAGGTAACTTTGTGGAGTAGGTCAAGTCAGGAAATCTAATGAAGGAAAAAAGATGTGTCAGATAATTTTTCCTCTCCCAAAAGATTATACATATTTGTTCCAAAGAAATAAAATTTCATAACTTTTTACTTCTCAACCTCACATTGCATAATTTTCTTTTCAGCTTGAAAATCACAATATGTTTAAATTTTAAGACTCTCCAGATTTTTACTTTCATCCCCTTAACAGATTTTGAGTTTCAAAGCTATGCAGTCATAAAATAACTTTAAGTTGTAAATATAATGAGATCAGGACCTGTGTCAATTTCACTTTAAGTTATTTATTCATCTGATAGTCTCCTACACATTGGTTTGTTTCCACTTCAGAGATACTTCAGCATAATGGTTAATCTTAATCTGATATTCTTTGTGAAAGCTATTTAGTGGGGGAACAATTAAAGTTATGTGTATTTTCTTCCATGGAAGCTTCAGTAACTGTGAAAAAGAACAGAAATGTTAACTCTCAAAGTGGATATCCGGAGTAACAATCTTTCATTTCAAGAGAACTATTCTCTGACTTCCTCGCCCTATACCCTAATTTTGTCTTGATATACCATACTTTCACAAATAAGCATAACATTTGGGCTAAAAGGAGTGGTGGTTATTGGAAGGAGGGTGCTTAATC